AAGGTTCTTGCAGTGAGCGACCATCCATCCTTCGGCTCCATCTTTAATTGCATAGGCGGCTTTAAACCCATTTGCAGTCACTAGCTCAGCAACAAGTTCCGAGCTCCCATCATATCTGGCTTCATTTCAATCCACACAAGTAAAGGATCACGTTTCAGTCATCAGGTTTAGATAATCATGCATCTAAGATGTATGAAAGAAAGTGAAACAACCAGCAAATATGATAATGCCATAAAAACACCCTGAAATATAAATTGAGTTTTTGAATACATTACTCACTCCCCAAGAATGAAACTATTGTGCACATAAAGATTAAATAAAGCTTGAGAAAGAAAACAGCTTCAAGAATAATCTTACTTGTCTAGAATGAATAAAGTGGTGGTCTTTGGCTCCTTGAACTTCAAAGACAGCTTCTTCAAGAACCCGGTCTTGTCGTCGCCGTCATAGCTGACAGCCACCGGCTTCTTCTTCAATCCCGTGATATCCGGCCTCCCCACCTCCCTCACCTCACGAGGGGGTCTTATATCCAGCAACTGCGCATTGGCATCTTCACCCATTTTACCATAAGCGGTCTTGGCTGACTCGACGCCCCATGGCCTGGGCTTTCTCAGCAGCTGAGACACGATTAGGGGCGCCGCCAGAATAGCTGCGCTTCCGGCGACAAAGACAGGATTGTCTCCGGCAAAGTTCCCCACTGTTTCTAGAACTCCACTTGCGCCGGCAAAGTCGGTGCCGGCGCTGTTCATTGACTGGTCGAGCGCTTCCTCGTATGTCAGCGCTTTGGCTCTGGTGTTTCTTGATAATGCCGACCCATTCGCGGAAATTGAGGAAGAAATGCTCTTCTTCTTCGCCGGGAAAAATGGGGTCTTTCTGGGTTCGTTTCTTCTGTCGGAAAGAACAGAGAGTGGGGTCAACCTCGGTGCGTTGACCGCTTCCATAGCTTGAAATCTGCAGCTCAGATCCGAACAATGGCCGGTGGGTTCTCACTTCTCTGTAGAGGAAGAAGCCTCAGAGGATTGATGGAAGCAAACCTTTGGTTCTTGGCATCAGGAAATTTTCCTTTTTCTTTTTTTGGATTTGGGTATCACTCTTGGACTCTTGAAGTTGCTGAGGTGGAAGTGTCTACCCAATGATTAAATGACATGTGTCAAGATAGGATCACACAGTTTGCTTGGACGACGTAGCTTTCTTGATCGTGTGGCTCAGGATGTTCGAACTTATCTTTTTTCTTTCATCTGCAGTAGTTTCTTCTTTTGGATAGAAAACTTTAATCCACCACAAACATTTTTAATGTCGCATTTTTAAAAAAAATCGTGTTCGAACCAAGTATGAAACTTAGCATGTTCATGGCGTGTTTGGTTCAGCGTCAAAAGAGAAGCTTAGGCACCGAGCTTATCATAAACTAAATAATGAAGCTAATAAGCTATGCAGGTTCATATTCACTTTCAGGAAGAAGAAAAAAAGAAGTTATTTCTGTAGTGCCCTTAGTTTCCAACAAGGCTAGTAAAACTAAAAGAGAATGAACAACAGTGGGTTATAAAAGAGAGAGAGATGAGAGAGTTTGATTACAACTACAACATATGAAAAAAGGGATCCAATCCTTGCCCAATTTCCCAGATTGAGATGCCAACATCCCAAGAAAGGGCTGCCTCGAGCCGCTTTGCAAGGGACATGAACGAAGGGTAAAACACGACATGCCTGGCGTGCTGTTCGTCCGTGTACAAGAAGAAATGCTCGCCGCTGGTCTTCTCCCACTGCAAGGCAGGCTTGTGCTTCTCCAACAACGATAGATACTCGTGTCCTATTATAGGTCCCCCTCCTAATCCTGCAAATTAAACAACCAAAAAGGGCATTTTTGACAAATCCTTTTCATACGCTGAGTTGAAGATAGATACGTATGTATGTATGTATATACCTCCTGAGATGACAAAATCGTTTCCGTAGAAATTGATGCCAAGAAAGATCTTTCTAGCCAAACTTTGATGATGATCTCCTCTGCAATCACCAAGAAGGAGCTGCAATGTTGAGTGTATCCAATTCAAGGGTGCATTTGGGCCTGGATTTTGAGGTCCTGAGAAGTCGTAGGTCATGAGAGAGAAGCCGTCCACAGCATTGCCCAAACTTCGTAAGTCGTGGGGCCCAAAATCATGGTCCTGCAGCTTATCCGAGTGTGGTGGACCTATCACATAAACCAACTCCAGTGTTTTTGCCTTATTCCTTTTTTCTAACCTTACGGAATGCATGGCTTCTCCAAGTTGGCGTATAAACTGCAAGCCCTGTCAATTCAAGCAAGTTTCAGCTCATCTGAATCATTGCCAGAAACTATATTGTCAAAATGAGATGAGTTTTGAAACATTATAATAGTAACTTCTCAAATAGAACTGAAACAAACACTATCATATTCAATGCCCAATGCATTACCATATTTCGAATATCAGGATCATGCAACACGCCATAAGCTGCCCATCTTGACCAGGACTCAAGAACAATACCATCATACTCCATTTCCCTTCACAACATGGAGTGGCCTCAAAGACATGCTTTCAGAATAGAAGTAACAATAATAATTTTGAAAACGTCAAAAAAGAAAAGAGTAGGACTATGTGGCTATCATTTCTAACTCACAACATATGTTGATGTGTTGAAGCAATATGATTTATGATAGTCAAATGACATGACAGAAAACCTCTTTATTTATGTTTTGATATTTCAATGCAATTAAATTGGCTGATATGCTAAAATAGAACTGAAATCATGTGATTAAATTGAGGTCGACTGTGCTTGCAGAGGAAAAAGGAAAATCAACAATGCTGTAGAGTGAAAAGGAAGAGAGAACCCTGGGGATTCATACAGTGAGACCCAAAAGGAACACTTACTTGCACTCCGAAATAATAATTTTTATGGCTTTATCCCTCTGTTTCTTCTTTTTAAGAAGATCCATGGGCATTGCTTCGAGGACAACTCTGGGTAAAATCTGAAACGGCAAAGGATATAAATTACAACTTAGCCCTTCCTGTTCAGGGTACCTCAGTTGATTGTACCCAGTCATGATATTTGCACATTGCTCCTGCTTATAATTAAAAATTTGGAAGTCGTTTTACACTGTACCAGAGCATCTCCACTCATTTGGATGTCTGAAATCCATTCTTTATCTGCGTTATGCCTTCCATCAAGAACTAACTTGGTACCTTCACTAAATCCAGATAGAACATTGACATTTGAGAGAGAAACTCGGTCGCACTAGTACATTGTACACTTTAACAGAGCTCAACTTATCTCAAACCAAGATATAACTACATAAGGATTTATATGGTTGCATAGGCTTGAGTTAGTTTTCGCAGATAATGTTATAATGAAACTGGATTCTAAAAGCAAGAAACTTCACGATATGGGTGCAATATGATCTCAAGATTCAGAAATCGAGCTGATTACAACGTTCTCACCTCCGAAGTTCATACCAAACAGGTGATAAATGCGTAAACTTTGTGCTGAACTTCTTGGACACGTCATAGCCTTTTGAATTCCTGCACCATTACTATCACAGAAATAAATTCTCAAGTATTGTTTGGTCTGAGGAGAGGGCTGTCCGGAAGTACAAGAGTTGGAGGTTTCCCTCCCCTCCCCTACAACCTTCCACTGGAGAGGAAGAACTTTTATTATATGCAAACAGCAGGTAAAATTATGAAGCATTGCCAAACTGCTCTCATTGCATACAAATATATATTGAATCTCCATTACCAGGGAGTGATGTAGGATAGTACAGGATTCTGAAAATGCCGGCCTGTTTCTATTGAATCTTCGTCTACCTTATGATTTGCCTGAAATAATTAACATTAACCCAACAACAACAAAAAAAAACTCAAAAAACATTTTAAATTGAGGTTTTTTTAAAGCAGGCCAAGAATGAGAAGGCAAAAAACAGTGCATACAGTGAGAACTTCGCGATAATTCAAATCAGTCTTGATCAAGTCGTTCTGAAAGAGGTATGGTTTGCGAGAATCGACCACAGTGTCTCGAGAGTATATCTTCCGGTATGCAATTACAGATATGACCGGACAGACGATGAAGAAAAGGACGCTGAAAGAAGGGAGCTTGTGGCCTCGGTTCTTCGCCGGAGAATTGGCGGAACCCTCGCTCCGGTTCGCCGGAGACCCGTCTCGTTCATTCCGCCGGCTAGTGCTCGGCCCAACTCGCCAAACTCGGGGTTTGGCCATTTATCTCCGGTCAATTCTCTGGATTCAGGCACTAGCAAAGCTTTCCAGACGACCCCATAATCCAATGTGAAAGTCAAAATGTCAAATAGGGAGCTCACTCACTGTTTGTATTCAATCCAATTTTTTATATTGACACTAACTTATTAGCAAAAAATAGAACCTAAATATCATTTTCCAGTGAAACGGTATCATCTTCAATATCATCAATGTATTATCAAGAAATTTTTATTTTTCAAGACACAAGAATTTAAGTTCGTTAGTTATATCATTTTCCAGTAAAACAGTATCATCTTAATATCATCAACTCACTACCAAGAAATTTATATCTTTTAAGACAGAAGAGTTTAAGTTCGTCACTTTAGTTCTTAGGAAAAAGTGCGTCATCTCAAATGTTGGAATATAGAGACAATTCTTGTCGATTTTACAGGTTATCATGGTCAATCAAGTTTTGTTTGTTTGTGTAATACAAAATTTTAGGGATGATAGCAGTTTGGTGCAAGTGTGTGTTGCACATGAAAACCAAAGGACTTTTATAAGAAAAAGTGACAATAGAAAGGGTAATGTTGTTTTTCACACACAAAAAAATGTGGGGTTCCCATTGGACAAGATTACCATCAACATTATAACACCAAACATCATCATATTTATACCATTAAGGATGGGTCACCATGCATCACTCATTATTTAATTTGCTCAATCATATCATAATCAAACTTGGCAGCTAGGCTTCCATCAAAAGCCAACCATAATTTCTTATTTACAGCAGATATATATATATATATATATATATCAAAAGCCCATTAATTTCCTAGCTAGATGATTATATTAATTAGAGGAGAATATATATGAACTACTCACTCACTATAACATAAATATAGACTGCCATTGGGAGAGTGGATCTGCTTCTAAGCAATCATATCTCTACAATCCCAACATATATGTATATATGTGTGCATAAAGTGTCACAAGAAGAAGCAAGCTAAGAATCAGCCCCATATGCCCTGAGCCGCAATCCTCTCCGAGGCATCAGCCAGAGCCTTGAGGTTGCAGTTGATGAGGGCCTTCACAAAGTAGCAGGTGTCCTCTCGCGTGTTCCCTTCAGGCACGTCCACCAGGAACGACTCGATCACCAGCGTCCCCGGGCTCCCCTCTATCATCTCCGGGTGCACCGTTATGACCGATGAGTAGTTCTGCACCCACAACACCCCCACAAAAATAATCATTCGAGAGTTGAACGAATATAGACGTACATCACGTCTGCGTTCATTCATCATATGTAAAGTTGATTGGTGCATTCAAAGACAGGGGGAGGGTATATCAAGAAAGCCAAATGATTGTCTTAAAGAGAAGAACAAAAATGTGACCTTTAGTCGGTGATCGCCACCAACAATCTTGATTCCAAGAACATGTTCCTGATCATCAAGAAGCTCCAACCTTTCAGTGCTGGTTGTAGCTGGAAGGCCTGACTTGACATCCACCTCTCTCACACTCCCTATCCCTACATCTTCACCCTCCTTCTTCACCGTGCACCGGCTGATGAATGGCTTATACTTCTGTGGCTCATCAAATCTCCTCACCAGTGACCAAACCTGCCAATCACACACTCACTATATATTAACTACTGTGAAATGTTTATATGACATTAAGGTTGACACCACCAGGCCAGACATATTCACACAATCACACACATAGACAGCCACTCCCTTAAATACTAGCGGTGTCAGCCTTGGTGGCATCATTCTTGTGGTGATTATAGCACTAAAACCAAATTTTCTAAATTTCACAAAGAATTTGGGTGTCAAAACATCCCAAGTATCCAAAGAGCTACACTTGTTTGAAGGATCCGTGGAACATAGCCGCCCTCCACAAAGTTCACTTTATTTGTTATAGAAATTCTAAGGAATTGTCAAAAACACTCCAAGATCAGAGGATTGATTTGGATTACAACTCTACAAAATTGGGGTGGATCCCGAAAAAGAACTCTTCTTTTTAGATTTTACGGAGCAAATAAATCACACATATAGAGGAAATGAATTACAGTACTAAAGAAAATCAGAAAAGATTTAAAAAAAAAAGAAGAAGAAGAAGAAGGATGAAATGGGGAGAAAAGGATGGAATAAATTAGTACGGTATCAGTGGAGGCTTTGATGTGCTTCATAACGGTGGCAGAGCTTTGGTAATCTTTGGGCTGATGCCTGTGAAACCTCTGCACGTAATCCGCTTCCATTTTACACTGAGCGAACAAGAAGAAGAGAAGAAGATAAGACTGTAATAAGAGGAAGAAGAGAGAACCGCTTATTTAAAGCAAAGCCCACAGAGGAAGCAAACCTTTCATTGATAAGTACTCCCTAGTTGTAATTTGTAAATACTAAATACTACCTCTGTCCCACTGTCTTTGTCCATATTTGACTTTTGGAACTGTTCATCTAAGTACTTTGACTCATCAAATTTTCTCAATGTGTAAGCCTAAAAATAGTCATGTATGATCGTGTTTGATACGTCTTAACATATAGATTATTAATAAATAAATTCTATAATTTTTTAATATACAAATTACAAGATAAAATGGATTAAAGAAGTGCATTGGATGGTGTGCCAAAAGGTAAGTGGACAAAGACAGTGGGACGGAGGGAGTACTATCCACACACAAACAAAAACAAAAATCAGGTCAGGTGAACCCCAACTTTTTGAAGACCCACACAATAATAACTTCAATTTTAGATATAATCAGATCAAACTTTATTACGGAGTACAATTTACTTTGTAATAAATTACGATCAAAACCAAATAAATTCATATCATCATCCATCAAATCACATAAAAGCATACTCAAATCATTAAGATCAAAAGTTTAGAGCAAAAACCACATTTAGGACGAATGAAGTGACACAAATTACTTTAAATATCTCTACTCCTTTTGTCTTATGAAAATTTTGTCACTTTCTTTTTTGTCTTGTGTAAAAGAAATTTTATTTTTCTCTACATTAACAGTTTGGGACTAAAAATACACCAAGGTTCCCATGACATTGGGTTTCAATGTCATAGGATGACCCGGGGTGCTCCGGTGCCCCGTTCGTAAAATTGACGGTTCCTACCCCCGTAACCCCCCTGGTAAACCCCCACCCCGGCCCCGGCCCGAACACGCCCCCTACCCCCGTCAATTGCACCCCACAAGTTGATTTTGACTTTGTGGGGTGCAATTGACGGGGGTAGGGGGCGTGTTCGGGTCGGGGCCGGGGTGGGGGTTTACCGGGGGGGTTACGGGGGGTAGGAACCGTCAATTTTACGAACGGGGCACCGGAGCACCCCCGGGTCATCCCATGACATTGAAACCCAATGTCATGGGAACCCCACCCCTAAGAATATCTTACTTTTTAATAATTTCTGTATTGATATTTTTCCTATTCAATATTTTCTTGAACTCCATAAAAAACAAAATGCTAAGTTTTTTTTAATGCAGGGGAGTGAATAAATTGAACCAAAAAAGTGTGTTCTTATTCTTGTATAGAAGCATTTGTGATGGTGACACTAATATTTTTGACCATTACATTTTTTTTATAGCTAATACTCCAATAGAAGAAGTGTGCGGTAGGATAGTGTCCTTGTCACTTCTCCACCGACGACGGATAAGTAAGGACTTTTGGGATGGACCAAAAACGAATCCCATTTCCCCATTTCTACCCCGTCCCAATCTTTTTTATCAATCATGTTTCTTCCTTAATGATCCATATCAGATTGAAATAAATGTTAGTCTAGTATGATCTGATCTGAATTTTATTATATTTAAAGTTATTTTTAATCTAATTTGATTTGATTTGAACTAAATTGATTTCAATAAAAAAAATAAGTAATGAAAATAAATTAAAAAAACATAACGCAGCGATTCTTGTTTTTTGCACTTCATATATAGATGAAACTTATGTGCACATTAAAAAAATGGTGGTATATCACAAAGAGTCACAAACACAAAATATGATCGTAAAATATTCTCCAAAAATTGAAAATGATGTAACTTTAGTGTACACCCACTTTCACCTAAATTATTTCCGTAAGAAAATAAATATAGGTAACTATCTATCATACTCTCTTTGGCCCCAATTTAATTACATACGGAGTATTGGGATTTACGAGGAGAAATATCCCACTTTTTGAAATTATTTTATTTACAAATCGGTGAATCGATAAGAAATAAAAATTACATTTTAAAAAACTACGTTAAAACTTCTACAAAATAAGAGGTGACAAAAATATTTTATTTTATCAAATACTTAATAAATCGCGTAAACAAATAAAAAATATCAAGAAGAAAGAGAAAAAAATATAATAAATATAATCAAATTAGAAACGGAAGAAGTATTTCTTTTTAGCATGTGCGTGTTCATTGCTATGGTTAGATATGTTAGAATATAAATAACTGTTCCTGGGCCACAACCACAAGCTTGAGCTTGTGGTTGAGTTGGTTCCTTGACTAAGAGGTCACGGGTTCGAAACTCAGCGCCACCCAATTTAAAAAAATTAAAGTTTCATGTGCAAGGCTCGTAAAAGACTACGCCTGCACGTGAGGGGGCGTGTTAGAATATAAATAACTGTTCCTGGGCCACAACCACAAGCTTGAGCTTGTGGTTGAGTTGGTTCCTTGACAAGATAGTCCTCAATACAGTAATATTCTAGATATTGATTTTAGGCCCTACTTTGATTGGAGGAGAGGGAATGGAAAGGTAGCCAAAATTAGGGGTGTTCAATTGGATCGATCCGATCCGATCCAAAAATTCGGATATCCGAAAATTTCGAATCATGAAAAACTTGTTCCATATCCGATCTGAAAATATTCGGATATCCGATTTTTCGGATCGGATCACTGGATTATCTGAAAAGTTGAGTTTTTAGCCAAAATTTACAACAAAAAAAAGGTAAAATAGAAAAATCAACCCAAAATATTAAATTCAATATAGATTTACTAAAAGAAAAATTCTACCACTACGTAATGAACTAATAAAAAATGATACCAAATTTAAATTGGGAGTAACTTTGGTAATTTTGCCTAAACAAACAAAAAAACACTATTAAAACAAAATATTCTAAAGTGCTAATGTAAAAAGTCCAAAATGGTTGAGTTCCAAAATCAACATAAAATTACATTTAAACATATAGTCATAATATATATTCATAAAATTCCAAAACCATATAGCAAAAAAAAAAATCGGATATCCGATTATCCGAAAAATTCCAGAAATTGAATCCATATCCGATCCGATATTTCTCAGGTATCCGATCCGAAATATCCGAAAGCTAAAATATCGGATTGGATATCCATTTTTCGGATCGAATCAGCCCGGATCGTGGACGGATATTTCGGATCGGATATTTTTGAACACCCCTAGCCAAAATGATATCCACTCTAATTGTATAAATCGGACACAATTCATGAGGCAGAGATGATAAGTAAATATAAACAGTTAAACACAACAAAGTATATAGGGCTTATATCTGATAAAATCTTCCAATATATTTATTGGGCTTGTTTGAGAATAGCGTTAGAGATTAACGTTAGCATTTTAGATTAAATTTTAACGGTGCAGATTACTTTGAAAACGCTAACGCTAAACGATGCCCGTAGATAGCCTTTTCAAAAAGCTAACACTAATAGCTAACGCTATTCCCAAACAGACACATTACTTTATTTAAAAAGTGTACATGTTCGCAAGAGTAAAATTAAATGTTCTGTCTCTCGCTAAAACATCTTATTTATAGAGTCAAGAGACTTGTTATTGATTATCGTTGTTCAATCATTGACAAATACAAATACTTTACACTATCCAACCAATGGCACTTCATGTGTCTAGATTTAATCTTTTCATTCTTTTTGATATTAATGTAATCATGTTAAAAAGAACTTTTTTGGGAATTTGATCTATAAAATATAGATAAAGTTTGATTTTGAATTATGAAGACGAAAGGCATATAAAGAAATACTGTAATACCCCGTATTAAAATGGGAATGGGAAGAGCTCAAAATGATTGATAGTACTACTCATATCAACAAGGTGCATCTTCTTTTTGAGAGCTCATCACCTAGAAACTCTAAAGTTAAGCGTGCTTGACATGGAGCAACTTTAGGATGGGTGACCCCCTGGGAATTTTCTAGGGCACTCACGAGTGAGGACAAAGTGTGCGGGGAAGACGTGTGTTGGTTTGTGGGGCCAGTCTACAATTCTATGAGCAAACACTTACGCCCAGGGTGGGACCATTAATACATTTGCGTCTTACACAAAATATATATTATAAAATATAACTACTAAAAAATATATGCTTTAGATTTTTGTGTTTAGTTATATGATATGAGTTTGCTTGAATACTGAATTAAAAACATGGCATGTGTGTATATATATTCGAATATTCGAATAGCATTCGAGTCGAACACGTCTATATTTGAATTTGTATTTGTTTAAATTTTGAATCAAAACTAATTTTTGAATTTGTATTTTTAATTTTACGAATTCGAAACATTATAATCTGTATTTAAATACAAACCACGAATCATTTTGAAATATTTTATTTGTTTACATTCTAACTGCAATACGAATAAGAGATTTTATGGTGTGTTTTTTAATAGATATTGTAAAAAAACATTCCAAAATAAAAAAAAATGAATTTAAATTCTTCTTCAACCATTAAGCGAGGAGGACAAACAACAAGACTACTAATTTTTCGTTAATTAAAAAAAAAAAATTCAAATAGACATTCTTGTGATGCATCCCAAGAACAACCCCCACGCAGAACATTTCCTGCAGCCCACAAGAGTCGAAGCATTTCTCCCAGTCTATTTGATTTCTTCTTCTTTCAAACCTCTTTTGTTTTCCTCCACTCAGAGCCAATAAAAAGGCTTTCGTTTTTTTCTTCCACTTTAGGAAAAGAAAAATCTGCAATTCATATACTTCTGCTCGCCATAATCACTTTTCCCAAAAGTAGGCATCCATCCAATCTTCATTCATACATTGAAGTTCATCATTTAGGGTTTATGTGATTTGCTCGACATTGCTGTCCGCTCTGCGCACGCCTGAATGGATTTAGATTCCGAGATTTAAATCCGCCAATCTACTCCTAGGGTTTCATCCCTCTCTACGAATTTTCTCGCATCTCTTGGTCTAGAATGATTCGATATTTTCATTCGTGTTTATAAGCTTTTCTTGTTCATCATATAGAAAAAAGTTGTTTTGCTGGATGGTCAGGATTCGTTGATTTTATTTTATACTCTATAAATAACAACTAGAGGTTCCTTGCTACACTGATTTGGTTGGAGTTGGAATTGGGGGAGTATTCTGTGAAGTGGATTGCTCGTGAGAAAGTTTGGATTTTGATTGGGACATGGGTGAAGATGAAGGATGGGCTGAGGCTACTCGACTTTTGCCAAATGGGCTATTGGCAAATGCTGATCCCGTCATACAGGGCGTGGACCCGGAGAGATGGCTGAAAGCAGAGGAGACAACGGCTCACCTCATTGCTCGTA